CAAAAAATGGATTTTGCATTGTGGATAAATATTAATACCGCAGAATTTATTTTTTAACCTGCGAATCTTTTTAACCATAAATTATTAAGATTGGCTCACGGGTTAAGCCCTTTGCGGTTTTTAATTATTAAAATATAATTTATGCTTATATGCATTATAGATTTTTTTAGATATTTAAAGCATTTTTTTATTGTAAACTTTACTAAAAACGAATAAAATATTTAAAAAAATAAGCGCAATGAGCAAACTATATGTATTTCATAACATTTATTATTTTAATTTAAATTTCAAAATAATTTATCATAAATAAAAATTTTGAAAAAAGACATGAATTTTAAGAATAACAAAAATAACTTTTAATGACATAAATAAGAATAACAAATCAAAGTTGTACAATAAAAGCTTAATAGAGCATTACTTAAGAATTGGTTTACGTCCACAAGGACACCTCTCAAATTATGATATAATATAATATAAATAACCTTGTAAAAACTTTAATCTTGATCATCTTTTTTTTCAATTATTTCTTTTAATTTAAATAATTACATGTAAATTGAAGTTAATCTATTGTCAATGCGAAATAGAAACCTATTAACTTTATAAAAATCACAACAAGACATACAACAATAGACACTATCATTAGCCTTATGTAAAGTTTTACAAATTGACCTAAAAATTAAAACTTTTTGAAACACGCCTGCATACCCACTAAATTGATTACATGCTAGATTTAATAAATTTTAAAAATCTTTCTTATTTTTAGTTTTCCTCGTATCAAATCTAATTGCACTTATCGTATCTAAAAAACTTAAAATGTTTCTTAAAGCAAGAATTAATTTTTCTTTTAAGTCGTTTGAAATATTAGATCTTTCAAGTTTCTTAATAAATTGCGGCATTCGATTTTTAAATTTAATTTTATAAAAATTTCTAAAGCTCATTTCAGATCGCTTGTAGTTTTTATAAAGTTGGCGCTTGTTAGCTGCAAAAATATCAACCCAAGATACCTTTCTCTGCTTGCTTTTATTACCGCATTTTTGTTCATTTTTAATGTTTTTTATTTTTGATTTTTTCTTTTTAACTCTTACGTTAATATTATTCCTATTAGCATTAATGGAAGATTTACTATTTCCTGGTTTTTAAATCAATGAATCATTAACACTAGATGGTGCATTAAATCGAGCATTATTTGGTTTATTAATACTGTTAGTCTTTTCGTGGTAATTTTGATGGTCTAATAAAACAGTAGCATTATCATTTGTCTGTAAAAAAGTGTTGTTATCTGAATTAATATATTGCCTCTATAATAAACAATTTTCAGTTGAATGTAATAATAAATTAATATTATCACTACAAGATGTATAAATGTAAGAATGTTTAGCCGTATCATTTTCATTACTTTTTAAAATTTTAAGACGTGTTATATCAATTCTTGATTGTTTAAAAGTACAATATTGTTTTTTAGATACATGATTAGTAACTGTACTTCTTGTTAAACTATATGGGATAGAATTGTTCTTTTTAGTTATTAAAGATGAAAAATTATACAAATCACAATCAACATTTTTATGTCTGCTATTTAAATCTTTGTCTGCGCAATATTTCAAATAATTGAATAAAATAGAACTAGATTGATTTCCGTCTAAATTTTTACCTTCTATTATTTGGGTCGGTTTTTGACCTCTTTGTTGTATATCTTCCTTTTCACATATTCCAATATTTTCAACTGCTTTTGAAGTTTCTGATGTATCTGTTCTTAAACCCAATACTTGATTTGAACAAAAAAATGTCTGTATCCAAAATTACATTTGGGTGTAAAAATATTTTTAACATAAATGCCTTTTAATTAAAATATCATTTAGTATTTAATTGTTTGTATGATAGAATGGATTCAATATATCACACCTAACCATGGTCAAAAAATATAAATTAATTTTTTTAAAAATTTATAATGATAAAGAAAAATTTTGCGCGAAATATTTTACAGTAAAAAAAATTGACAGAAATGTAAAATAGAGATTAAATTTTATAGTATTGGAATTTAAGTCAGAACGATATTAGTTTTAGATATAACTTTGTACAGACTGAGCTCTAAAGGTAAATATTTTTTAGTAAAAATGATAAATATTTTTATTAAAAATGGTAAATATTTTTCAGTAAAATGGTAAATATATTTTGGTAAAAATGATAAATATTTTTTTGCTAAAAATGTATTGACAAAAGATAATATGATGTAGGCGATGTAGCCTTTAAAATAATTTTGTTAATCTTTTCTTTGTTGAAAAATGTACAGATAAAAGAGCATATATTTTGAATGTAAATATACGCTCTTATTTAAATAGATAAACTTGTTTATTTAAATAAACTTTCAAGTTGTATTAATTTTAATTTAATGTGCGATTTACTGAGCTAGGTTTAACCAGAAAAGTGGAAAATTAAATTTTCTAAATGCCTTTGAAATATGGTTCATGCTTAACATATAATATTAATAAAAGTAAAATTGTTTTAATTAACTTCTACTAAAATTTTCAATTAATTTTAAAAAGTCTTTTAAAATCACCAGTATATAGATTTTTTGTTTAAAAATAGTATTTGCAATGAATTTTTTTTTCTCAAATAAAAAACTATGGATTGGTAATATTTGAATGCACAGAAATTTACCATCAAATTTGAAAAATTATTTTCTCATAAGTCATCTAAAACCGTCGGTTCTTAGATTGTTTTATTTGACAAAATTCTTTAAATAAGTAAATTTGTGATAAAAAATTTATAATCCGGTGATATTTGACAATGAAGTTTACTTACCAATCTTTTAAATTTTATTTATTACCATCGTACAAAAATTATTATTTAAAAAAATTTATTAATATATTATTTTTTTTAAGTTTTGATTGTAATAATATGGTTATATCAAGAAGATATGCCATTAAAAATAGAAGTATTACTTTGATACCACAAGATAAAATCATATTATTGGGAAAAACTTAGATTCTTATTGTAAATAGTAAGGAAAAGTATTTATTATATAGCATCTAAGTGTGAGAAAATGCTTGATAATGAATGCACAATAAAGCATAATGAGGTTTAAAGTACACACATATACTATTGTGTAATAAGTGCGGAGTTAAATCAAGAAAAAAATTAAGAAACAACTTAGTGCAGGAGATAGTACTAACAGATATAAAAAAATAAGATTCGACACTACAATCAAAGCATGATAAAAAATATACACTCTATTTAGTAGCAATATAGAAAAAATGAAAGAGATACTAACTATTGAAATAAGAATAACATTTATTAATAATCTATAAAGAGTAGAAACAAAAAAACTTAGAAAACATGATGTACTAATCAATGAACCTATTCAAATAAATGACTTCAAATCTAATATTATACCATATGCAATGGCGTGGTAACATATATCGTAAAAGCCACAAAAAACGACATATAATATTTCAACCACGATAGAAGCATACATTTACTGAATAGTATTAAAGGAAACTTGAAAAACATTTTTTTTGATTATAGAAGGCAAGAATACATTGAGCTTAAAGATGGTAGTAAAAAGATGAAGGCGTTTTTAAGTCTGCTAAATTCTGATAAAGTCTTTATTTTCTAAATGTAGAATTAAACAGCTAAGTGCTTAAAATTAAATTATTTTATCTAATTAAGAAAAATAAAAAGCGTAAAGTAGTTGAGAAAAATGATTTTTTGAAGAACTCAATCTGTACAAAGTTATGTTTAAAACAATAACGTTTTAACTTGGGTTTCGATACTATTAAATTTGTCTGTTATTAATTTGATCATATTTCACATTTCTATCATTATTTTTTTCATTGTAAAATATTTTACTCAGAATTTTTAATTAATCAAGATCAATTTTTAAAAAGTTTAATTTATATATTTTGATCATAGTTAAGTGTTACATATCTAATTCATTCTATCATATCTGCATTAATTTAAAATGATATTTTAATTGTAAAGCAGATAAATTTTAAAATTATTTTAACCGTTAAATGTTATTTTGGTTTCAAATAGTTTTTTGTTCAACTACAATATTAGATTTTAATTAGGTCAGTAGATTTAGAGAATACCATAGATTTTTTAGGAGTTTTTGATAGTAAAGAATTATGTGAAAAAGAAGATATACAACAAAAGACTCAACAATCGACTAAAACAGAAGATGAATGTATGAATGATAATCAATTTAGCTCTAATTTATTAACAGATTGTACAGGTAATGATTTAAATAGACGATATAAAAATGTTGATTTTGATTTATTTAATTTTTCTTCCTCAACAGCTGCATCAAATGATTTGATGACACACAGTTGCACAAGAAGTACATCTATTACTAATGTATCTAAAGAACAATATTGTGCGTCAGAAGAGTCAAGAAATGACACAAAATGTCTCAAAACTTCAACCAGTAGTAGAACTGATACATCAGAACATTCTTACTTGAATAGATTTTGGAATGATGATAATAATTTATTATCACAAAAAAATCAAAATGATTTATTACAAGAGCAATATGGTAATTCAAAAAATAACACCTTTTTACAGAAAAATTATAATGATTTGGTTTTATTAAATTATCAACCTAACCAATTAGTGACCAATAATGATATAAATGAACCAAGTGCTGTTCAAACAGATGCTTCATTTAATGTTGGTGTTTCGTCCACGATTAATAACACTGAAAGTAATTTTTCTTTTAATAATGCTTACCAAAATGATAACAACGTAAAAGATAAAAGAAAAAAATTTAAAACTAACAAAGTATCTAGTATTCAAATAAATGGTAATGAAATTACATTAAAATCTAAAAGAAAAAGAAAAACTAAGAAAGCAACTCTAAAAAGTCAATTTACAGCTAGCGAGCGCGAACTTTTTGATAAATACAAGAACACTGAAAAGAACTTTAGAAGGTTTTTTAGACTTAAAATTAAAGATCAAATGCCGCAATTTATTAAGAAACTAGAAATATCTAATCTTTCTAATGATTTGAAACAAAAGTCAATTCTTGCTCTAAGAAATCTTTTAAGTTTTTTAGATACGATAAGTGCAATAAAAGTTAATACGAGAAAAGCTAAAAATAAGAAAGAATTTTTAAATTCATTTAATCTAGCATTTATTAAATTTAGCATGTATACAGGTGTGTCTCAAGAACTTTTAGTTTTTAAATTGATTTGTAACAATTTACATCGTGTTGGTGATAGCGTTTTTTGTAGTTTTTTTGGTTGTAATTTTTATAAAGTTAACAGGTATCTATTTCGCATTGACAGAAGATTTAAATCATTTAACAATAGACTATTAAAATTAAGAGAAATATTTGAAAAAAAATGATCAACGTTAAATTTTTAAAAGGTTATTTATTTAATTTTAGAACATTGTATAGGCCTTTTTTAAAGACGGTGTAGGCGGTGTAGCTTTTTAAAATAATTTTTTAACCCTTATTCTATGTAAAAATAATGTATACACAAAAGAGCAAATAATTTGTTCCTTCTACAATAAGTTAAAATATAAATACACGTTATTTCGAGGATATAAATTTCTTTATTATTATAATAGAAACATTTTTTGTTCAGCGTATTTATTTTAGTAAACGTTTTACTATCTAGATCTAGACATAGTTGTGACAAGACAATTACTCAAACTGAACAAATGCGACACATGTTACATACACACCAGAAATATAAATATATATATGAATAAACAGAAATTTATTAAATTAATTTTCTCATAAGTTATCTATAACCAGCTCTCCATAGATTTTTATTTAACAAACCTCTTTAAAGAAGTACCCAATAAAAGATTTTGTAATAAAAAATCTATGGACCGCTAGTATTTGAATACATATAGAAATATATTAAATTAATTTTCTCATAAGTTATCTATAACCA